GTTTGTTGTTGTGTGTTTGTGGTTGTGTTTGTCGTTATGTGTTTGTGATTGTCTCTTGTCAGATTGTTGTTCTGTATGTGGTTGTGTGTTTGTGGTTGTGCGCCGTGGTCGAGGTCCGGCAGGGAACACTGGGGTTGAGGTCCGGCAGCGGATGGTCGTGGTTGAGGTCTGGCAGGGAAGGCTGGGCGCCGGTGGTCGCAGTTGAGGTCCGGCAGGCAACACTGGCTGGTTGGTCCGGCAGGGAACACTGGGCGTGGATGGTCGAGGTCTGGCGGGGAACGCTGGGCGCGGACGGTCGTGGTTGAGGTCCGGCAGGGAACACTGGGCGTGGAAGGTCATGGTTGAGGCCCGGCAGAAAGCTGGGCGCGGATGGTCGTGGTTGAGGTCGGGCAGGGAACACTGGGCGCGGATGGTCATGGTTGAGGTCCGGCAGGGAACGCTGGGCGTGGATGGTCGTGGTTGAGGTCCGGCAGGGAACACTGGGCGTGGGTGGTCGTGGTTGAGGTGCGGCAGGGAACGCTGGGCGTGGATGGTCGTGGTTGAGGTCCGGCGGGGAGCACTGGGCGCGGATGGTCGTGGTTGAGGTCCGGCAGGGAACATTGGGCGTGGAAGGTCATGGTTGAGGTCCGGCAGAGAACGCTGGGCGCGGATGGTCGTGGTTGAGGTCCGGCAGGGAACACTGTGCGCGGATGGTCGTGGTTGAGGTGTGGCAGGGAACGCTGGGCGTGGATGGTCGTGGTTGAGGTCCGGCAGGGAACACTGGGCGTGGATGGTTGTGGTTGAGGTCCGGCGGAGGACGAGGAGAAGAAGGAGAAGGAGAAGGAGGAGATAGGGCTGACATAAAATCTAACAACCCTCACCTGACAGGTGGGGAAAAACGACTGTGTTTTGTGGGAGAGCAGATGTCTTGTTGCAACTGATCGTCTCTTTTCGTGTGCCGCATTTTAGAGAAAAACAAAGGCCCATGGGAAAGCGGCCGAAAAACTCGCGCTCTCTTTTCTTGCGGCTTCACAGCCCTTTCGACAGCTCTTCGGAATCACCATCGTGTTCTACTCATCACACGAATGAAACCAGCCCCCCCAACCCGAACCCGAAGAATCTTTTGTCGTCACATCGACAACTCATCATGTTTTGAGGTTGATGAGCATTTTGTGAAGCCGATCAGAAATGCATCATAGTCCTCTCTACATCACATCCACATCCTCATTCCGGAACGAAGCAGTCATCAGGTCTTCTCATCCACGGCCACCGGGTCGAAAAGGTCGGATTTAAAGTGATTGTCAAAATGAACCCCACTGCACGTTCGGTCGTTCGGTTTCTGACCCGGTGGCATAAACCCGAGGCCCACCTGCGTTTCTTCGTGATGAGATTGAAACCACTGCCACACAGCCGCAAAGTGATGCAAAGCGATGCATACAGCGGCAGACAATTGGTGTGTTTTGTCGCTGAAACGACAGCGACAGAGATCACTTCAAAGGCCACACGCCTAGTGACAAACATCCTTGCGAAGTATATGGGCCATGAGATGTGTGGATACCAAGCATCCTTTACTGAAGAATTGGGCAGCGCCTTGGTTGATCTATATTATATTTGTTGATGCCCCAACCATCGTCCTTGTACAAATTCTGTGGTTCTTGGAGTTGAGACGTGGGGAACAGTGCCACTTTCTCTAGGTTTAGTACTCACACTGCAGAGTTTTGATCGGCCTTTGGATGAACACTTTCGTGCCGAACTAGCAGCTGACCTCGCGAAATCACTAGCGTTCCCTGTCTGCACTTACATCATAAAGTTGTACTGCTCTAAGAGCAATTAGAATTAGAACTTGATACTTTGCTTGCTCCTTTTTGGAGACTCACTTCAGAATCCTGCAAGATGGCAGCCAACGCATGCTAGAGCTCAAGTCCAGAGCCACACCTATACGCAATTTGGCTGGTGTCAGGACAAATTCTTTTCTACCAACACTTGGTGTGGCTGCAACCAAACCAGCCACAGTAGCTGCTGCTCAACAGAAAGGATTGGCTGGTGCAGGCCAACGGGCATGTCGGACATGTCTTCTAGAGTTTCTAAGGAGGTCTAGAGTACTAGTAACAAGAAGCTACTAGTAGCTCCTGGCATTACTACTAGTAGCAAGAAACTACTATTAGGTCTAGAGTTCTGTCAAGCAGCTGCAACATGTAACTACCCTTTGACCATCAAGAGACTTATTGGAGCCCGAGAACAAGTTTGTCCTATGTTTTGCTGATTGCAAAACCCTCTAGCAACTGCGAGTTGGACACCGCTGATACGCAATATACAGGATTGGTTGAATGAATGCATGAATGAATGAATGAATGAATGAATGAATCTGCAGCTAACCGGCACAGTCAGTAGTTTTTAGAAGTCACCAACATATTTGCGCATGCTTTAGAAAGCAATCGCTGTCTCATTCCAAGGACCTCCAATGGCCACTTGAAAGACACACGATTTCAAAACAAAGACTGTAGCTTCGAGCCTCTACGATCGGCGTTAGCATATCTTGGAAGGGGCCTCAGATTTTGGATAACAATGGACTGACCTTCAAAACAATCCCGATGCCTGGGCTTGGCTTGGCTCGGAAGTCAGGGACTGACCTTACGTACGACACTTTCTGGGTTTGAGTCTTTGTGTAAATGTCAGTTTCACTGCCCCACAAACAAACAGGCTACAAGTGTTTCCAAGTCCAAAATGTGCAGCCACGGCTTTTGGAATGGTGGCTTGCACGGCTTTTCATCTCTTGAATGTTGGTGCAACGTGTGAACCGACCATTTCGAGTCACTTGACAGGACTTGCACTAGGAGCTGCTAGCACTGTGGCCACGGGTGGCAGTTCATTATTTGCGGTTGGCTTTGCCGCAGCTGCAGCAGGGGTTGGGGCACATGCTGCAATGCTTGAAGATCCAACCACTCCCTCAGTTGGTCATCCCTTTGGCACTGCAGACCTGGAAATTGCCAACTCGGTGGCAACGCTAAAGGCAATGATTAAACACGGTATAGACCTGCACCTTTGTGATGAAATGTCTGCCGAAGAGCACGTTTTGGCCACAGAAATGGTGATCGCACTGTCGAAGCGTTCGTTTATTGCTGCATCTTTCGATGACTTGCCCAGCCTGGTGATCCCTCTTGGTAGCTTTGGTGAAGAAAACCCCAACCCGTTGCTGGCCTCGATGATGACGTGTGCCATTGCCCTGATTACAGATTCTATTGCTGCTGGGGGTGAGATCAATGGGTACATGTTGCGATCGGTCACAGTCCGTGGCTCTAGAGGATGTGCCTTGACCTTTCGTCGAGCGAACACTTGCAGCATACTGTGACCCTAGAAGCCGCCCTGCTCCAAAGCAAAGCTGCAAGCATTGGACACTGGAGAAGCTTTGTTGGCCACTGGAGAAGCTTGATCCTCGCCGCTCGGACTCTCGGACCGGACCCACTTCTTACAGCGGCAACAGAGCTGGCTATGCTGGCGAACTACCATGGAGAAAAGCAGCCTTGTGTTGAGAGACTCCAGAAAAATCCCGAAACTGGATGAAACTGGCGATAGCACATATACATCATCCAACACAGTTGGTGCGTCCCGTGCTCGCTGAGTAAAAAGAGGACACACACACACACTGTTACTCCGTTTTCTTCTAACTCTTTTTCCATCATTCTTCTGTTTGACCTGAATGGGACATCGTGGGAAGCTGTCAAGATACAGTCGGCTGTCTTTCCATCATTCTTCAGGCTCTTGATCTTGAGGAGCTGGCTGATGTGAGTCTTGCCGATTTAGAGTGACGGTTTGGCCGACGATGGCCTACGCCCATCAGCCAGGAAAGAACGAGAACCCAAAGATGTCAACTTGATGCAAATGGAAGGCCGACTTTGGACCAAAGGAGGAAAGCTGAGTAAGCTGTGACAACTCTGTTGCCAGCTAGTTCGCAATTCCGCTCTTTGATGTTCAAAGCCGGAAGATAGGACTGCTCGGCCAGCTTCAGAACAGCTTCAATGACTTTAGGCAGAAGGTTTCCAGTCTTAGAAATACATGTAAATGAAAGGTTGTCGTCATTTTGGATTGTAGGCACGCGAAGAGCAAGCATTGAGCAGCAAAGCTAGAAGTCCTTTGCGTTAAGACGCGTCAAGTGGTTTGAGTTGCGACGTTTGTGCACTCATGAGTGGATCGTCGCTAGCAGCCCTGCATGGTGTTGGCCTGGCGGGCATCAGCAATGTCACCCGTCAACGTTCAGTCGAGGTCAATCATAGCTGGTCCTTTTGCGTGTCATGTCAAACGGCTGCTCGGAAGCCCGATTCCTTTTCGAAACCAAGTCAGGCTATCGCTGCATGCTTCACCAACCCTGTAGATGTCATCAAGGCCAGGTACACATGCAAATCAAGAAAGGCAAATTTCCAGCTTGCACTTCGCAGCTTAACAGCTACAGAAGTGGGCTGTTGACGGCGTAGAGCAGTTGGATTTGTGCAAGCATGGAGCGACACATGGGTAGATGCCACATGATGCCACATGAGTTTTGCAGAAGTTAGGTTTCCCTAAAAATCTAGAAACCAAATCATTAGCGTGAGCTATCCTGCGTCCATACTAGTATATAGCTTACTTGTTGGTACTAGCTACCTGCAGCTACTAGCAGCCTACCCCTCCCCCCTCACCTTAAAAACAAACGGTATGTTCCAGGTGCGGATGCAGCTTGCTGGGGTCTCTAAGCTCACCAGCTGCGATGCCCATACAGTCTTGACTGCTGGTCGAAAGCTGTGGCAGCACGAAGGAGTGCAAGGCCTTTACCGAGGCAAAGGGACAACTTTTTTGCATTTGAGTTTTGTTTTACCGGATCTTCTTGGATAATGATTGCAGGTCAAGCAGGTTGATAGCGGTAGACTTGTGAAAGCTTCCACCATGCGACCTCTCCTCCAATGGGAAGGATACTGACGTGTCACATGTCATGTGTGTGAGAGAAAACCACAAGCACCGAAAGGGAAACAAATGCATAAGGGAAACAACACCCGGGAACCAAATCATCAGTGCGAGCGTTCTTCAAGGAAGCTCCGGCACGCTTTCTTGAAGAAGCGTGAGCTATCCTGCGTCCTACCTGGAAGCTAACCTAGTCTAGCAGCTTACTAGCCCCTTACTTAATCAAGTACTGTAAGGAGGGGGGAGCGGGCTAGAAAAATAGACATCCGGCCGGCGGCCTTTGGGTTGTTGCCACATTCCCTTTCTGCAGGTTTGCAGCCATCCATACTCAGAGAGCTCTCTTATAGTGGCGTCCGGATGGGCCTCTATGAGCCTGTACGGGAAATGTTTTTGAGCTTTCAAGGTGCCAAACAGAGAATGTGCAGTGCTTAAGTTTTGGTTTGGCTTTACTTCAGACTTTTTGTATACTGTATAAGGATCAGCGCTGACTCCAGTAAGAGTTCCTGGGGCAAAGCGTCCTCTCTCTCCATTTCAACCTTTTGAATCCTTTCCAGGTGGCAAGCAATCGACTTCTCCCTTACTCATCAAGATTTGTGCGGGTGCTTTCACAGGCCTGATGGCATAAACATGACAGGTAGAACCTCAGTTTGCAGCCTTAGGGGCCTTTGGGTTGGTTGAGGTTGACTTTGACTTGGCCAGGGTTGACTTTGGTCAGGCGCAGTCGGTTCTGTCCTGGCGAATCCCTTTGATCTTCTGAAGGTTCGCATGCAAGGAGCAGAGCTTAAGCAAGCTCCAATGTCAGCGACTTGGCTAACTAGGCTACACTAGACAAAACAAACTGTGGAACCGAGTCTTTGTGTTTGTTTCGTTCTTGTCAGCCTAGCAATCTTTCAGCCCTGTGCGAGGTGGTGGCTGCTGGCAGAGCCATTTGCCAAGAAGCTGGAATCTCTGGACTTTGGCGTGGGGCAGGTCCTACAGTGCAGCGAGCGACGCTGCTGACAGCATCCCAGGCGGAAGCATCCGGCATTGTTATGTACCAATTTGCCAACCAGGACGAAAAAAAGGAAGCAAGAAAGAAAGGAAGGAAAGGAAAGGACAGGACAGGACAGGACAGGACAGGGCAGGGAAGGGAAGGGAAGGGGAGGGAAGGGAAGGGAAGGGAAGGAAGGAAGGAAGGAAGGAAAGAAGAAAGGAAGGAACGGAAAGGAAAGGAAAGGAAAGGAAAGGAAGGAAGAACCAAACAAGCAAACAAACATAACGCTTTGTTCTTCTTTACTTGTACAGGTACCCAGCTACGACCACGCAAAGCACACACTCCTTGACCAAGGCAGGGGTTGGCACGTTGAATATGATTGAGATTAGTTGCATGTAGACTGTCAAGTCAGCATAGACAGATGCTGGGCTGAAATGGACTTAGAGAAAAGTTGACCGCCCTGTACCTGTATTTGGGAGGCCTCCTGAAAGAAGGCTACTTTTGCCATTTCAGCTGCAGCATGCTGGCTGGAGTTGTCGCAGCAGGGGTTACGAGTCCTGTCGATCTAGCAAAGAGCCGTATCATGACGCAGCCTGTGAACCCTGAGAAACTTGCCGCAAAGTGGACTTTCATTTTCTAGTAGTAACAAAAAGCTATTAGTAACAAGTGCCACGCTAGTAGTAACAAGTGCCTTACCAGTAGTAACAGGTGCCTTACTAGTAGTAACAAGAAGCTGTTGTGCTGTGGTATTGTCCAGATGTCATGTAAGGACTGGAAGAGGCGCACTCTACGTTAGCACCTTCGATTGTCTTGTGAAGACTGCCAGATCTGACAGGGTCATGGCAATCTTCCGGGGCTTTAGCATGCAATGGCTCAGACTGGGACCACACACTACGATCTCTTTGATGTGTTTTGAGCAGCTCCGGCACTTGGATGCTTGGTGGAAATTAAGAGACTGAAGACTTGCCGCTCTTTCTGCCCTTTCCGCCAACAACATTTTTTGTTGAGACAATATGCCGATGGGTATTATGTGGAGTTTGCGGGTCCCAAAGCCTCCCTGGCACCTCTTTTGGTGTGTGCCAAGTCGTACCATGGATTGGGGCCGGGTCCTGCCATATAACAAGTCTTAAACGGTCAAAATCCTTGTATATCTGAAGCTTTCTTGGGTCCGGTAACGCGCTTCTTGTCACGCCGTCAACGAGAGTTATGTCTGTGTGCCGCATTTGCACTTTCTATAATTCCGCTTGCAGGCCGGTATGAGTTTCCTGTGAGCTGCCTCTACATGCGCGACGGTCTTTGGCATCTTTTGCAATGTACAGTAAGGGCACTGCCAGTCCGAGGGCTGCAGAACTGCTGCCTGTCCAGCACCCCACCCGCGGGCGTACTGACAGAACAAAATGACAGAGCCGCCTCGCAGCTCGCAAAGCTGTTCACTTCTACCTTTTATGGGAGTCTGGAGTTTCCGGGTGTGGGTTGTGGGGGAGGGATTGGTTTGCTCCCGTTGGGAAAGGCAATCAATCTCGTTTCGGCATCAGAAGACGTCAGCAGGCCGCGTTTCAATCAACTGCCCCTCAAGACATTTACCTTGGCTCAGAGCATTACTTCGCAGGCGAAACCGACTAAGCATAGGGGATGAAGGGAACACAAGCTGCTGATGACAAAAATAGACACACTTTGGAGTTCATATGGTGCAATCACTTGTAATCACCAAGATCAGATAGCTTGCTTTCATATCTACACATTTGGCCTGTCATTTTTGTGCAATACAGCTTGGCTACCAAGTGGTGTTTCATATCATGGGTGGTGACAAGCAGAGCAGTATTCAAACATCACGAGAATAATTTTTTAGTATGCTAAGCGCGTTCCTGGTCTTCAATGCAGACACAGGCAGATTTGTTTGTGCATTTGTTCTGCTCACTGAGCCTCGCAGTTGCCCTGAGGCGCCTTGGTCTACCATCGCAGATATGATGCTGACTTTGGCATTCCCAATGCAAGGCAACAAGCATCATTGGCAGACCCCGTGGGTGACTCGATCTGTTTGAACACATGCACTAGGGCCACTAGGGGTCCTGGCCTGTGAATGTCAGGACTGTTTGTGACCGTGTGCTTGTCGGGCCCCTTTCCGATGCTCCCTTCGATCGGAAATTACAGAGTTATTTTGATTTTATTTAGTTGTTTATGGTTCTTTGAGGCAACCTCAACCTAACCACAGCACAGACTCCAAGGTTTGGCTTTGCAGCTGTATGCCTTCAGCCGATTCTCCAGCAGCTTTCCAAAATCACCACAGCTACAAGTTCTTCACTTTGGGGAGATCCGTAGTTTGGGTAACATCTTCCTGGCAACAGAAGAGCTATCTGAAGAAGAAGGGCTCTCGGCACGCCGGCTGACTTTGGCCGCATTCGGAGAAACTTGGGCTTGGACTGATATGATCGCAGTGGTCATTGAGCTTTCTTCCATACCAGAAATAGATTTAATTTGTTGACATTTGTGCAGTCCAAGGATCTTGCACCAGACTTTGGTGCACAAATCGCACGAAATCTTCTCCGCGATTTTATTGAGGACCTCAAGGGTTGGGCTGTGCGCTTGCGCTTTCGTCATTGGTGCCGCAGTGTTGTGCTGTAGGAAAACACTCGGGCAGTTCATGTGCTGCATCCCAGCAGTGATGCGAAGTCGGAGACAGCGCCAAGAAGCTGGCATTTCAATTCGCTTGTGCCCTTGTCAGCAGTAAGACGGTGGTATAGAATTAAACGACGGTGTATTTCACTTGGGAGACCCCGAAGGAAAGGTTTTGGTCTATTTCTCTTCTTTCCGCTTTGAGAGGTCTGTGTATTTGTTATTGTGCTGCATGCAGCATTACTCTGTGGGCATGACACCAAAACAAAGTCATGGACCCTTTTCACAAACTAATGAATAGACTTTCGTGATGCAGACAAACCAAACTTAATTTCATAGCATTCCTAGCACCACGAAAGGCTTTTCAAATCATCACCAAAATCAACTTAAAACTGTACAATGCCCGTCGCTGCTGCAGTTGTATCATTGTTCCAATCAGTGCAAGCAACTGACAGTGGATTTGTTCCTCCAAGGATATTACGCTTGAAGCCATGGTCGATTGTTTGGTCTGCAACATTGCAGAGGCCCTACCACAATTTCCAAGGTGGGTGTGCCTTTTGCGCTTTGACGAGGACTTGAAGGGAATCTTTGCAAACTCAAATGCCCTTCTTCAAGTGGTGCCATGAGGTGCTAGAAAATTCTATCGCAAGAGCACTAGTAGGTTGGAGGCCATTGCCAGCCATCTTTTGGGCCCGGTTTCGTGCTCTCTTGCGAATCCAATCGTGGAAGGACATGGGACATCGTGCATGGGAGCAGATTGCTGTTGCACAAGCAACTCCAGTCGCCCCCAAGGAACGCAAAAGTGATCGACGACCACAATCTTTTGCAAGGCGGTTACTACACAAAGGACATTAAACAGACTCGGTTGCTACGGTTTCGAGCCGCATCAAGATGTTGCTGAGGGTGACAACGACAAGACTAATGCTCTCCAATCCAATGTCTGTAGTGCAAGTTATTCCTTGTTTGTGTTAACCACATGATGCTGACTAGCCTTGGAGGAGTGTCGGCGATCACTGCATGTTCACCGCGGAAATCTACAGACCAGAGGCCTTCCTCTTCGGGAGGTCGTGCAGCACAAGGGCAGGTGACATGGTGGCGCCGTCAATCTCATTCAGGACATTTTGAAGAGCTTCATGAACAAGAGAACTTCATGCTGACATGTTTCTGGTATGAAGGCTCCGAAGAGCAGGTCTTACCATCCAAGACCTCTACCCCAGTCCTGGAGCTTGCTACTGCATTGCTGGAATCCAGCTCGATCAATGCCGGTTGGACACTTGTGCAACTGCAGCCTCATTTTTGGTTTTACGAACACATGGGCTGCATGCAATGCGTGGCCTTCCACTTTGCACCCTATCGGACCTACTTCCTGGTACCCATCACTTGCCTTTTTGTAGAGGGCCTGCCAGAGAAGTGGGACCCTTCTGTGTTGCAGACAGTGTGCACTGGTGCGCGACAAAAGATCTCTTCCGTCTCTAAGTTCAAACAGAAATACTTTTCTTTTATGTTGTTCCTGGACACTCCAGGAGTTCTGGCGTTTTCTTTCTAAAACTCTAATCCTTTCCAAGATCCTTTCCACAAGACTATTTTTAGATCTAGGTCGAATCTAGGTGTTCTGGCCTCCAAGGAATTGGAGGAGCTCGTGAAATGGCTAAAGAGCAAGGCTGGCGCATGTGGCTACTTTCCAAAGAAGAAAAAGATACTCTGCAGCGGTTGGATGTGGAGACGATCAAACCACAGACATCAGCCTGCGAGTTTCTTTCAAAGGATGTATCATTGTGTGGTATAGTTTTTGTTCTTTGCTTGTTGTCCTAGGCTTAGTAGCCCTCCACCACCAATGTAAGACTGGGTGGGCCATGCGACTGAGGCCCCTGAAGAATCCTCAAAGCTGAGATACAAGGCTTTGTTTCACCCATGCCGGCCAGCCGGTGTTTCAAAATCTTGTAAATTACCTAGGGATAAACCTGGGCAGGCTCAATTGGCCAGACTAGGTGTCCTTTGGAGTGAGGAGAAAAGGACTGAAAGTCAGGTCCTTCAGCCTCACCCTGAGGACATGGTGTTTGCTCGCCTGGAGTGACACAAAGAAGTGTTGCTTATACAAAGCGCCAGCGACACCGTGGACCTACTTGGCTGCAAGAGCAAAAACTGAGATCGTTGTGCCACAGCCGCCCAACAAGATCTGTGCGTCATCCGAACAGCAAGTGCAACAACTCGTCCGACACCGTCACCAAGATTGCTAAGCCTGCTCAGCTGCGATTGCAGGCGCACACCTTTATAGCGCCTGGCCCGCCCATATTACGCCGACGAGTTGCCAAACGCAAATAGCGCAACGAGGACATGTCCTGTTCCGTTTGTTGCGTGAGTTCCAGCCCCAAGTGTAACAATAATAACTTGTGCTCACGCACCAAAACGGCGCACATCGCAGCTTTTAGCGTGCAGAGTGTTCAGTAACAAGAGACTGCGACTGCGACTGACACTGGTCACTGGTTATCATTGCACAGCCAAAGAGGTAGCAGCTCATGGTGAAAAGCCATTGTTTCGAGAGAACTCGACAACGCGTTTAGATCATGGCAGCTTTCACACCATGCGCTAGCGGCTAGCGGCTAGCTAGCTTATGTGCTGCTCGCATTCTGAATGCCTGCTCTCCCAGTTTATTCGGTCGCCCTTTGCACTTTCCAGCGCCGTTCGTGACCTGAGATGTGCTTTCCAGCGCCACCTTCAGATTTAAGCCATCTAGGAAATGGACAAGTACCCAATCTGTTTACAGACGCCACGGGCCACGAGCCCCTTTTTTACACTGCAAGAGTTTAGCTTCCTGTTGTGCTTGATTGCCTGTTGCCAGTTGCTGACGAAAACATTGATTGCAAACATAGAGGGAGAAAAGACTTGTAGAAAGCAACCACATCCAAACAAAAAGGCTTTGTACTTCACGGAGACTTGGCTCGGCGTTTTCTGCCCAGAAATCCTTCACTGTTCCTACTTGTCATGCCTTAGCTGCAGACATGAGTAACTCCACTCTCGTTAGGTTGGTGCCGACGGCTGCACTGTCCAACCTTCAATGTGCCCCTGCAGCACAGCCCTTCTCAACCTTTGCGTTGATGTTCACTGTTTCCTCCAGCATCATTGAGATGCTGGAGACTTCTGAATCTTTGGCTCAGCAGTTTCCGGGATCTTTTGCTGAAGCTTCGCCCGGAAATGCAGCAGGAAAAATAGCCTCAACCAATGCTTCACGTCAGCGAATCCAAACAATGTGCGCGGGACAGCTAAAAGGATTTTTCAGACGAGCAGCGCAGTTTGCGTCACGAGTGACCATCAAATCACCAATGCCACAGCTTGAATGTCGGAAGCAACATGATGAAACCATGTACTGGAGTCGTATTCTTCAACTTTGACAGCCTCTCAGGCCTCTCACTCACTGACAAAGCGTGGTGGATGCCGCCGTTGCGCGGCTTTCAGGACCTTCTTGGCCGAATGCGAGCATGACTCCCGCTTCGCGTTTCGCATTCCTTGCTTGCCGCTGTGCGTGCGGTCACAGGGTGCCAGGTTGCTGTGGCGCCGAACTGTCAGACTAGAATTGGGTGACGAAAAGGCACCTGCCATGCTTCTCCCACGTCGGGGTGGCCGCGGCGGGTCGGAACTTCCATGCCCTGGGGGTTCCAGCCGGTGTCTGAGATAGTTTGTAGCTTCGTCTTATGTAGCTTCTTAGGAGAATTCCCCGAGCTCTGGCCCTGCGCACACCAGCAAGCTTAGCGAGCAAGTGCCAGACCTGTGGCAACCTCTTGCGGACAGCGGGCACTGCTTGACGAATCGGAACAATCAGCCAATCGCACAAATTCAAACTTGCACCTGTGAAAATGCAAGTCACTTCCCTAGTGAGATTCATCAAGGTTCCAACCCCCCTCTAAGTCAGGGGGGGGACCTGGAGGGGGAATGTGACATGCGATAGAAAACCAGAAAGCATCGACGTGGCGTGAAATTCAAGATCGTGGCGCAATCTTTTGGGAGCTGGGAATGAAAAACACATGGTTTGCATTCCAAGCAAATATGTGGTCAAGGCTCTGGGGCAGGATGCGGCGCTTACACAAAAACTGCAAAATCCAAGGATTTGAACTCCGCGGCGTGGTTCAACCCAATGCAATTGCATTGTTGCATGTTGTGTCTTGTGCAGGTGGGAATGAGACAGATGAGTCGTGCTACGGTCTATTTTCTTGTTGCTTCCTTCTCAATTAACATGCGTGCTCTAGTTCTACTCCTCATTTCTTCTGAAGTCTTCGTACTGCTCGATCTTTGCCTAAAGTTTGTGTGTATACGTATGTAATGTAATGTAATGTAATGTAATGCAATGTAATGCAATGCAATGCAATGCAATGCAATGCATGCATGCATAGATGTATGTAAGTAAGTAAGTATGTATGTATGTATGTATGTATGTTTGTTAGTATGCATGTATGTATGTATGTATGTATGTATGTATGTATGGTGAACGGCATTGTTTTGGAACGCGGAATTGGTCGCAATTTGGAACGCGGGCGATTGGTCTCAATTTGGAACGCGGGCCTTCCTGCGGATGTTTGTGTTCTTCTAGTGTATTTTTTGTTGCTGGTTGTTTGCTTTCTTCTGGTATTTTTTTTTCTTGTGGTGACTTTTTCTGTTGGTTGTTTATTTTCCTATTGTGGTGTTTTTTCATTGTTGTTGTTTTTCTTCCGGTGGCTTTTGTTTTGTTGTTTTTTTACACAGGTGTTTTTTTCCTTCAGTTTTTTTTTTTGTGCGGTGGCTTTCGTTTATTGTTTTGTCTTTCTTCCGGTTTTTTGTTTTGTGGGTGTTCTTTCTTCTCCGCGTGTTTTTTTTTCCATTTTGGTGGTTTCTTTCTTGTGGCGGCTTGTCTTTCATTTTTAGTCTTGTCATTTTAGATACATTTGTTTTTGTTATTTGTTGTTTGTTTTATGTCCAGTATATGTCCTCTGTTTGTTTTTCAATCGAAGCCACTAGACTTGGTTTACGTTGCGGGGAGGCGGCGCGCCCTCGCCCGCGCCCCCGCCCGCGCCCCCTCCCGCTTATATTGGAGGAGATCAAAGCAACAAAGCAACTCAGGAAGGTATACTGCGTTGAAATGACATCTTCTTCCTCTAGATTTCGCCCGCGAACCGATATGACATCGCATGCACGCTACACACCAGCAATTTTTGATCGAACACCGGAATGCATTCCACAGCGCGAAAGGAATTTATTTCATGGTAACATACCTTTTCTGAGCCACGCGGGGGTTAAATGTATATAGGGGAAGGAGGTGCCATTCCAAGGCCGCACACCTTTTGTGAGCCGCACAGGGCAAAATTTAGAGGAGGTGAAATTTGGAATAGGAACTTGCCATTCCAAAGCACGACTTTTGTGTGCCACGCGCTGCTTAAATTCAGAGCAAGAAATTTCCTTTCCAAGGTAGGATACCTTTTGTGAGCCACGCGGGAATAGATTTTTGAGCAGAAAGGTGCAACCACACCTTTTGTGAGCCACGCGGGGTTTAAATTTAGAGCAGGAAGGTGCCATTATGTGCAACTCCAGGTAGCATACCAAACCACGTGGGGGCATTATTCAGAGCGGGAAGGTGCCATTCCAAAACATGCCGGCTGTGAGCCACGCAGGGGTATGCCAGGCAACGAAGCAACCAATGAACCCCACCAACAAGGCCAACACACATGGTTACACTGCGGGGGAAGGGTTGTGCCCTCCCCCGCGACCTTATATTGGATGAGGTCAAAGCCATAAAGCAACCCAGGAAGGTATACTACCTTGGCATGGCGCCTTCCCCCTCAAAACCTGGCCAGCGAACTGATATGACATCGCGTGCACGCGACATATCAAGAAACTTCCCCATCGAACACCGGAGTGCATTCCACATTGCGGGCTGCTTGTTGTGTTCCAACATGAGCCGAATCATGTGTACCAGAATGAACGCAAACGGCCAGCTGTAGCAGTGATAAGTGCCACTTTGAATGGCTGACGAACGACATAGCCCAGGATGGATTCTAGAGGGCAAGCCAACCCTTTGGACGAACCATTAGCCAGCCGCGGCGGCAACACCGCGCCACAGCGCCAACCCACACGAGCTGCAGAATCCAGCCGCTCACATCCATCGATCCAGCCAGCCGAGCCATGAGCGAATCACAGACAGAGCCCCTCGCCAGCAGAGCCTATCCCTGCAGGTCTGGAGGTCACATATCCTTTTGACGTGTTCCGCGTTTGCGTCCCCGCCTGCCGTTGCCAGTTCGTCAGTGCCCGTGCTGTCGCCCTTTTACATCGGGGGCCCTGAGAAGCCGGGCCATTTGAAAGGGCCGCGGCCTACGTGTGGAGAGAAGCAGTTGACGCGTGTAGCAACGCACGTCTAGGTTTCTGACTTGAACAGTGCAACAAACAGCACATGGGCTACCCGAACACAACGTCGTGCAGCTGGCCATCGACACCATGGTTTCTTCATAGCCATGTGAATATGCTTTGTGAATTGTCCAGGGACCACCCCTCACATAAAATGTTGTATGGTACCCCTGATGGGCGTATAACGGACTTTGACTTTGAACGTGTTGATTTTGATACTGTTGTGAAACTGTCACAGTTTCGGCCGATGTGCAAGTTACATTCCTGAGGTCAGGCATTGTGATTTTATAGGGACTTACATTTTTGTAGCCATCCTCATGCCTAGTGATTTTATACAAAAATGATCACCTTGAGTAGGTCACCCTGACCGTTTTACAGTTATAAACTGGCGTGCGAGGCCTCCCACCCCATATTTTCATAGCTATGTTTTTCCTTGGCCCAGCTCACGGCAGCCTCGCCTGCAAGGACGGCATTCAGGGCAGCGCGGCAGGCCAAAGAACACACGTACCCAGAACTTGCGTGG